CCTCCAGTGAGGGTGTTTGGCTCCCTTATCGAAGATGAGATGGCTGAGTGTGTTTGGCGTTGTTTCTGCATCTTCTAATCTGTTCCACTGGTCCTCAGGTCTGTTTCTTTGCCAGTACCATGCTGCTTTTATCACCATAATGAGAATTTCCAGGAACCTTAGAACAAAATGGCTGCCTATATGAAGTCCCAGGAGTCAAAGTTCTCTAAGAAATCAGTGGTGGTTTCTGATAAAGTTTCTAGAAAGTTCAGACCTCAAAATTGGAGGCATCTTTTCCCTGAGACTATCTAGTGAGGTCTCAAAGCAAGCACCTGTTTTGTGCAAGGGTACTATAGAATGATTTAGAAAGGTCAGAAAGAATTTCTCTTTGTGACACAGGATGATAGGTCACCCAAGAGCCACCTCCAAAATGCCTTCCTAAGTCCTGAGTTGGTTCTTTCTGGCACATATTGTCTTCAAACTTTATTTAGAAGCACCAAATCTCTACCCTTACAAGGGTTGTAGAGGTCATTGTCCAGTTACATAATAATGTAATGCAAAATCAGGAAAATGGAGAGACTGATAGCAAAATCTCTGGGACCTGGGAATGGAGACACCTGGAAAACAACAACTTGGTGAAGAGAAAAAAAGAAGTGCATCTCCAGGAACCAGGAGGGAGCTGACAAGAAAACTAGCAACTACAGAAAAGCTGGAGAAATGAAGCACAATGCAGAGAAAGGAACAAAGCAGTCTGGAAAGTTGATCCTGGCTCCAAGAAATGGGGAACCTGACTTCTGACACAAGATGAGCCCAGAGAGGGTCGGCAGCTTCAGGGAAAAACAATGGATGAGGTCGGCAGCACTAGCCCCAAGAGAACCCCATAGCTATTGGAAATGGTAAAAGCATTGTGAGGTTTTACTCTGAAAGTGACTCCAGTGCAGCACCTGCCATATCTGAGAGGATTTAATCAGGAGCTTTTTTCCCCCAGTACTGGGGATCAAACTCCCTTGCACTTGCCAGGTGGGCACAGTACCACTGAGCTACATCCTTAGTCCATTAGGAGACATTTTGGGAAAGGGCTAATTGTTTAAGACTAAGCTGCAGAATAACTACAGAACTGCAGAATAACTACAGGATTTCTGGTTTCACCCTACCATAGTGACTGGGTAAAAGATGTCCACAAGAGACAACTGTGGGGAGGCCATGGGTTAGACACAGACTCTTAAAAAGTTTAAACTCAGGCCAGGAAAGACACTGGGGCTCCAGCCTCTATGGTAAAAATCCAGCCCAGTAATGTGTGGTTTTCAGAGGGGGCTGGTTCTGAAAGTGCTGGAAGCAAGTCCAGTGGTCTGCCTAAATCCCTGCTTGGATGTCTATGTTCAACACAGAGCTTAA